GCAAAAATCGGCGTGTGAAAAACCAACTAAAAATGTTTTGTTCTACTCTTTGTCAAAATGCTCCTTTCTTCCTGCGGCACATTAGCTGAAGTGTGTTGCTCACCTTCAAATAATATGCCACGATGCTTATAATGCGATGACGCTCCCTTATCCTCTGATCTCCATGGATTTTTGTTGGCTCTTTGTCTAGTGGTTAGACTGCTGAGATCACTCACCCCTCAATTCTTGGCCCTCCGCTACGTTGCTTCAATGGTCATTAGTTTTCTAGTTTCGACTCAAACGCAGTTGCAAGACGTCGCTCCAGTCCAGGCAACAAGTATATTTAACCAAGCTAACAACGTCACTTCATCCGTTTTGCTTTTGAACAACCGATTTTCGCTAAGATTAGCATGTTCAACGTGCTCACTCTACTGCAAATTGGCCAACAGGCGACACTTGTTCAAAGACTAGAGACCCTATCAATCGACATCTGCTACCTATCGGAAACACACCTAAAAGATTTGAGATCTATGAATATCCAGCGATCTCCACAACTGACACTGGCGGCACTTTCTCATTGCGTTTGACTGGTGATATCGCAGCTACGAATACTGCTAAAGACGGTGTTGGAATTGCTCCGAGTCCCCGTGCTTAAGCTACCTTGGCTGACTTTATCCACATTAACAGCCAGATGTGCGCTGTCAGATTGGCTGGTTCGTTCAAAGTTTCAAACTTGCTTGCAAATAAATGCTGCCTATTTGCCATTGCGATCTACGCCTTCACAGACCGTAGCACTGACTCGGTGGAAGAGGAATTAGATCACCAACTGGACGAGCTCCTTCGTTATAGAAAAAGCACTGATACTTTAGTGGTTGCAGGTGATCTGGATGCTTAATTTCGAAAATTGTCCACTGATGTGTTACATGTGGATAGTGAACACGGTGTAGGCCACAGTAATGATAACCTTGAGTAGTTGCTACACCTCGGTAGGGATGCTCATCTATTCCCCGCGAGCACTGATTTCCGATACAACACTCCTCAAAGTGTGATATGAGGCCCACCAGCCTCGGACCAGCTATGGACGCAAATCGATCACATTGTGATCAGTTACCGCTGGAGAAGATGTGGGCAACATTGTCACTCGACTTTGAGTACGAGTGTGGACTCTAACCACACGCTCGTTTTTGCCCATCTTCCAGTTCGTATCGGTGGGGCATGCGGCGACGATGTGAGCACATAGATATATGCCAGCTGGTGAACCCAGCGCATCAGTATATATATATATATATATATATATATATATATATAACACTTGACAAATCAAATTTGGCAGAGTGCCACAACACATGAGTAACAACAACAAATAGGTGGCAGAGAGTCAGTGAAAGAAATGCGAAGATCTGTGTATTGTATGGGCAGGCAGCTTTTCGGTTGCTCATGTCAAGGAAGTGGGTTGACTTAAGACACCCCGCCCCGAGTCTCTGGTCAAAAAGAACTTACTGTCAAGGCAGCGGGGTGAATACGAAGACCATTGACAGCCTGTTGGCTCCTTCAACTTCTGTATGTTTAGTTGTAGTCCCCAGAGACCCCGGTGGCAAGCAAGGTTTTTCATCTGCGCTTTGTTAAATACTCACCTCTAGTTACAGAAGTGAGTGGTTTGTTACCCTATAGCCGGTCATATGGGCTTTGACACAGCGCCGTGCGAGCTCTTGTGGTATTTGATGTAGAACCAGGTGAACAGCACGGAACTCCCCACGCTCTTAGACGCTGCCGTTGATTGTCCGCGACTGCTTATTCATCTCGCCTGCAAAACAGATGTGATTTATTTGCAGATACCTTCACAAGCAAGGCATTTCCCAATCCGCCACCTGGGGATGCGCTCGGTAACGTACAGCTCCGCCACGGGGTATTCTGGCATCCGACTTAATAAGCGCTCTCTGAATACAGTTGCAGGCCATTGGTTGCATATTCATCAGACGTTATTAGCATCAGGCATGTCTTCATGTAGCAATTCAAATTGTCAACCTGGAATTTGGGTCTCTATGCAGTCTATGGGACTTTTGGATGCTCGGTAATACATTATGGCTAGAAATAAATACAGCGAGAGTCTCAGCTACCGTAGGGCGAAACTGCATGCTAGCATGAAGAGAGACCGCGAAGCCTGGGGGTCTCCTCGGAGATGGAAATGGTCGCTGCTATTAGTAGTCATCTGCAGTTATCTCGTCTGATACACGATATGGTCATAAGGGGCCTGAAATTAGCAAGACCATACGTGACGAGGGCAGACAACCAATCAACGTTTGTCAAAACACTTAAGCGCTTGCTCAACTACTTTGAAAAACAGCTTGACCAACCAGAATTACCAGCTTCTCCATCAGCCAAAGAGCGCCATTCCTCTCTGGGCATCCTCCTGCATCTGCTTTCACTTGAGTTTCTTCGTCCGTCTCATTCCGTTTTTCTTCCTCCTCCAACAATTATCACTGTCTTGAAGCGTAATATATTACTAAGCAGTATTTCACCCGTTATTTTGTAATCCATACTGTTTGCTACCCCGCTTTTCGTATATTTTATTATTTTGCACTGCAGTAACATAGTTGAAGTGTATTTTTTACCCACAGCTGTGGTGTAGTAATGAAATGATGTAAAGTGGTCATCTGTTGATGCAGTTTGCGAAAATGTATATGCGGTTAATGCGTGATCTCCATCTAACGGTTGGGTTCGTTGCACACAACAGGGATCCAACAAGCACATGTACCTGAGTAGGGACAACTGTCGGTGGCATTTAAGTATACTTTCCATCTTCAGGCAAAGGATACATTTCTCACGTACATCATTGGATGAATAACAAGAATCTCGAGCATCTTAGACTTGGTGTACTTACAAATACTGCCCTTTTATATCACATTATCCTCATCTATTTAACAAGTTCTACCATAATGCATGGTCTCTTTGGTTAGCTACAATGGTATGGACATCTGAACAACACTACTACACATTACTGAAGTCCGCAAAGTGCATTTCGCCCCAAATACACTACGTCAGTGCGGTTTGTAGTGAAGAGTAGACATGTACGCTTTCAGTATTTTGAAACGTTAGCATTTATTCTTGTTTCTTCCTTCTGATCGTCTAATTGTTTTGCTAACGGTACAATTCTGATCACTTTCTCTCCACGTTTGTCACGCTGTATACTACTATCTGCTCTTGCTTAACCGCTCTCCATTCTTTGTAGCTCTTTTTATTACAAGTTGGTCCAGCCGATCTGCATTTCCTCCATATACCCGTGTTTGGCAAGCCTCTTACGTGTCACTGCTTGCGACTAGTAGCTGAGTGGTACTCCGCAGATATAACCGGCGTGCTTGCGGTGTAACTGGAACAGCAACTACTGCTGTCGAGAAAGTTCTCCCGAACTAAGTACAATTCGTAGGTAATTGCGAAGAATTTCCTTGATGCATGGCCCAGATGTTCCCATTTCCCTTTTGTTCGACAGCTAGGGATGTGAACTAGGCCAAAGCGATGTGACCGTGACTTATCAATGGTCTGACCTGCTCCCTACCAACGTAAATGAACCTATCGTGAACTGAACATCGTTTGAGGATGCTGCTGCATCTGAACTAGCGTCACGAGTTTAAATTAGATCACATCATCATACACTGCTCACACCGTGCAGTTGAACATTCTTTGTCGAATCGCAACTTTCACTTAGTACCATAGTGCGTGTTCACAGATAGGGTTTGGCCTTAACTCTTCCCCTCACCTACATAACAGTCTCTGAACGAGGTTAGCTAAGTGCGTTGTTCAACCGTGTTTACGTAGTCTTGGCGATATGTGGAAAATCATATCGTTCTCTCTGAATACGGCACTGCTAATTGCGCACTGCTTTCTCCAGCAACAAACCAGGTAGCGGCTTACTATAGCTCATAATTGGGTTATGAACCATGGGGCTAAAGGCCGGAGAAACGAGAATGCTCCCCCTATCAGTACATTGTTGGGGAAGCAAGCGGACAATGGAGTACGAAAGGAAAGCATTATTGGGTTGGGGACAGGATAGAGACTTCAGTGCAAGTGCGCACTGATTCGCATCAAATGGTGGTTCTAGGTGTTATGATTCACGACGTCTCGTGCACTTTTCATTCATCCCAATGGGATAATGTATATGAAACCCACCAAACAGGATGACGCGACGCGATCTTTTAGTGAAACGATGGAAAACATGTCGGAACATTTCAGTGCATAGTCAGCTGAGCTAGATTTACGTCGATCGGTGTTGGGTTAACTGTAGACTAACATACAGTCACGCTCAGTCGACTGCACCTGATGAATGGCGACGGGCCCAGTATTCAGAATGTAGAACGGTATGCTACTTATAAGTAGTATATATTTAAAATGTTTGGAATACCGGAACTGGGTAGAATGGGATAAGGATATTCGCCAGTGTGTCAGCAGACAGCATGGAGCTTGTGTTCGAGCCCCTTACGTGTCACCACTCCCTGAACACCGCTATGAAGTCAGCCGTTGAAGCGCTAAATATGTGAACAGGTGCTGAGTTCAACCAAGTCCAGTAACAAAATGTATTGCAAATTCCGTTCAGCTCTGATCAATGCCCGACACCTCCGCCTCCGTCCTGAGTTAGGAACATCCCAAATAATACCAATGTAAAGACGATAGTCACCTTAGGTAACTAATGCATACTTGATTGAGAATGTAAAACAACAAGTGAGAGTGATTGGGATTCCGCACACATTCACACACAAACTCACACACGGCTACCGTTTTCGTTGGATAACTGGTTTGCGCATGCCTCAGCTTCTCCGCCATAGTAAACACAAATGCCAGCCCTGTTTTACATTGGTAAAAGAATGCAGCCTTAACACTCAATCGCTGTGCTCGGTTACTTCAGTGTAGTGCAATACATCTAATTTTGGATTTGTAACTCGACACCAAGCTATTGCTTGTAATTTCATGTGCCACATGTCCCCAGCTGCCTTTGTAAGCTATGCATAACACTATTTATATTTTTAAAGTCTAGCTGAGTTTACTAAGACAAAGGAGAAATTGATCAAAGAGCGGGATGAACAACAGGAAGAAAACAGTCATTTACGAGAGCAAATTGAAGAGACCCGTAATCGAACAGCCGGTTACCAGGATGAGATTTTTGAAGCTCAGGCCAAAATTGCGGAGCTAAACCAAGAGATACAGGTTTGTGGTAGCCTTTTCTAATTTTGAACAGAATAGCCAATAAGATGTAAGAGTACGAAGAGTTTATTCAATTTAAGCAGACTGCTAGACAACTTAAGATTAATACCGCCGTCACGATTGATATGATATATAGTCATGTTAAATATACTTGTTTGAACTGCTGTTAAGAGTATAGAGTTCCGAAACGGAGTCGATTTAATTCGCTAAGTACCAGCTCGTGAGGGGGCGCATTCAAGCCCGTCGCACCGTCGAAGTGCATGCCTCAAAGGCTCATTCACAAGTCTCACCTAGTCAACGGGCAGCGCGCTCACCTCCCCAGACTAACGCACCGAACCTTGGCATCCGGCCAATGAGAACGTAGTTAATGTCAGAGGATTGACTCTGAGCGGCTGGCGCACCGCACAGGGTTTTGCAACATTTTGGACCTTCACTGCAAAATTTTGCTCCTTCTTTGCAAAATTTTGGATCTTTTATGCAACTTTGCGGGAAATGCTATAGGTCTGTTTGATGACATATAAATCCGATGTAGCCAACTTATACGGAAAACGGTGGCACCACGTCTAGTTTCGGTTGAGCAATTTCTATGATAAGGCTACTATAAATATAATCCAAATAAACCAAAAAACAGGCCAGTTGGCAGCTGTGTGAAAGTGTGGAGACTGCTTCGAGTAAATTGTTAACGTTCGGCGCTGCACTCAGAGCTGCGGTACTGGTGTCCAGGATAAAACAAGCGAGATTCCTCGTGACACTGGCCCCTCAAATTACGTGCTGCGGAATTTAAAGCAAAACTTTTACATTGCACTAGCTCTCACTTTCTTTACCACTACTGTTAAGAAAACATGTCGGCTGGAGGTTGTGCTTCAGCGGACCTCGTCTCGAAGGGAGGATAGGTCGGGGCGCAAACTGGAACTGTTTCGGAGATCCTTGCTAACTTCGGGATATCTATCCCCAAGAGTATCCAAGCTCCTTACACTGTCACAAAATGCATGGCTTTGAACCTCACGACGAGTTGATAGGCATGGAATGCGAACTAATGTTAGGTGATTGCTTTGGTCCACCTGAGTGCATTAGCTTTCAGTATAGTTGGACAGACCACAGGATGATGAGGAACCGTGAGTGATATGGACCAAACTAAGAGGCCAAAAGTATTAATTTGTACTTCTATGTTATGTTAAAATATGAATACACGTGTCTTGGCTCAAACGTGACATTTAATCGAAACAAATGCCATTTTAACTGACACTTTTGCCAACGGGAACCAAACTTGTTTTTTCCGGATGAATAAAGTTCGGAGTTCTGATAGCGATGAACTCGTCGAATTCTATTCCAGCATTTCCTTGGATTTTAGAACGATTCTGTGGGAGCAAGTTACTCAGATTCCTGAAAAGTGGCAATCGCTAAGCGAAATGTTAGGTGAGTATGGTGGGTGAGGAAGAGTTTCTTAGCCTAGCTCAGACAGATTCCGCATGGTTGGTTATGCCACGTGCGGCCCAGCGTTAGCATAAACGAAAATTGGACCCTTTCCGTACATCAGTGCCGGACATGTTCATAAGTTTTCGGTAGATTTCTGCAAATGTCGACAAGGCTTCTTCGCTGTAATCCGTTCTCCTGGATTCAGGAAGGTGTGATGGATCAGACCAGCTGCCGACCACTAAACAGCGACTATTATCTTTCTGGATGCAATTTCGGCTTTTGGAGGTGTCCTGGAGCTTGATCGTGGTCCAGCCACTAAGCCATGCGTTATCGATTGGCGTGAATGAGTCACAATCTGGTCGAGAGACTGATCGTCGTTATCGCACAGAACAACGGCGGACGACACTTCAAAACGGCGATTTCTTTGATTTTCATTTAATTTCTAAAACACTTACTTATCAAGCTTTCTCGGCATTTCAAACCCTGCGTAAATATTTTAGAACTGCCACATGTGACACTTCTAAGTCATAAGCACGATGTGAAATAGTTTTAGACAGACCATCTTCAGTTAACTTTATTAGTTAATCGTTGTTCACTGCTAATGGTTGCCCACAGCGCTCTTCATATTTAAGCCTCAAGTAATCATTCCTAAATTTTTGAAGCAACTGTTGTGGCTCTATAACACCAAATACACTGCTGATGTCACGAGCTGTTTCCGCTGCGTTTCGACTAAGTTTAAATCGAAACAAGCAAATTTTGTGAACTTGTATGCTGACCACATCACATAAAATATTTTTTAAAACTATTAAAACGTGTTGCTTACCTAAAGCATCAGTACCGATAAACTCGCTTCAAACTGCTCAAAGCAACTTATTAACAAGGCATTCAAAGTGGAAGCACCTTCCGTTATCCTTAGTATCGTTAAAAGTGGCAGAGGACCTCCATTGCAAATCAGTATGATGCTTGTCACAATTCAGTTATTTTTAAACTATTGGACCGCATCATGCTGCGGTGTCTCACTGGTTTTCGTGGGAGATGAAACATTAAACGTAGTGTGTACACCGGTCACACTTTTGCTCTTCGCCAATTGCTTGAACAGCAGAAATAGACTACATTGATAGCATCCCTTGAACTGGAGATCTTAACCATGTGCACTGTCGCCTAAGGATGTTCCACCACAGCGCCAGTTAGAGTAGTAGCTTGTCAACATCAATTGTGCAACATGCCATCTACAGTGCAGCCGTAGGTACTTTCAATGTACAGAATGCCAACGCAGTAGCCACTTCCAAATGCAGATGTTTCTATTTTCTCAACTACTGTTTTTAAAAAGTAGTTTAGTATTCTACTGTTTATTGAAGTTTTATTTAGCCGCTTTAACGCCTTTGAAATCGCTTCTTCGAGATATCGGTACCTCTGCTGAGCATTGTAAACCCTATGGATGCACAGGAGGCGATGCGCACGGGTGGAGATTTTCTCCACAAGCACAACCAGCAAATGCGTTGTTTTGTGTGCTGTAAAGCAACTCTGCGTTTGAGGATTTGACGGAACTTGCAGGGCAATCTCTTTTAATCGTTTTAGATCATTGGTTATCTGTTCCTTCCTATATCACTTCAATAAGTCGCCCGAGCACAATATTGATGACCCAACCTTTAGGTCCACGGTGTAGATATTGAAAACGGTGGGACATGGTTGGATTAGCGTCCTTCAATGTTGCTTAAGGCCCGTTCGCTCAACTTCTGTGGATTTGAGTTGCGTCCTTAGTAGTTACAAGGGTTCAAAGAGTATGTAATGAATCAATTTACCAAATTAGTGGTAATACGAAGTTTCCACAATGTGACAACGTTCGGTGTCCTATTGCACCATTGATGACTACATCGAACCTTGTGAATTTCTTTGGGTCCTGCACCACGAGCTGAAGAAGCCAATCAAAGTTGACATCCGCTATCGGTCACCAAGTCGTGATAGATTGTTGGGTCTGCACAAATCTAATCTCCAACCGTGTTACATTACCTTGCAAAACAGATTGTGTGCAGATTTGAGGAGATGGAATTACACCAGGACTACATCACAGAATTCGAAAGATGGATGAACTGTTACTCAGGGTTCCTGGATTGGCACCGGCTTCAGTTGTGAGCTGAGACGAAAGCACTGCTAGTAGAGCGTGATCCGGGATATTACAGATAGACGAATAATAAATAAATAAATAAATAAATAAATAAACGTTTTATTCCTCAGCAGTGCGAGGCAAAGACCAATTGAATGGTCTTATCAACATGTACAACGTGATCGCATAATATAGTTAATTGTTCGTCTTTTGATCAAAGGTTCCCATAAGGGTTTTGAAATGATTAGCAGTCAATAGGCCTGTCACAATTTGATGGAAAATCTTGGCGAGTGACGACGATGGTACAGAGACATCAGCTTGGAAGGCGTAGTGCATCAACGAACCAGTGCGTCAAAGGAGAAAACAGAATTGGTTAAACGGATTAATAGGAGTAAGATCGTTCTCAAATATATACTCAAGAATGCAACTATATGTAGGTAATCTTATATTATTGAAACGAATAGAGGATATGGTGACTTTCATACGTATCCAGGACCTTTCTCATACAAATCATCTAGAGTCACCGTTTGGCTTAGTGTTGACCAGATGTTTGCAACAGTCAGGTGAATATTAATCATGTGTCTGAATTGTGCATAGGTAGTGCAGTTTCTAACACTCGATGGAAGTTTGTTCCATATTAACGCGTATTTTACAGAGAAAAATTTTGAGCGGAGCATTGTGCGAGACTTTGGTATTTTCACTGTGCGCTCGCTGTTTCTTAGTTCATAGCGCATACGAGTCTGAAACTCGAGTTGTGGCTGAGCAGTGAAGGTCAATCCGAATAGTAAGCGGTATAAAAGGTACAGATTAAGTTTGAGTCTGCGTAGCCATAGCGGCTCCAGATTTAGCGCCTCGCAACGCTCACGGTATGTCATAGTATTAGGCATGTTCAGAAACCTTTTTGTGAATGATCGTTGAATGTTTTCTAGTACTATAATATCCACTTTTCTCAGATTACTGTGCACTATCGTACAGTACTCAAGTTTCGGCCTAACACATATTTTAAAGGCTTGAAGTCTGGAATCCCTCAAAATAAGAGTTCGACTTATATAGGCGATCACTTTTCTGGCAGAAGCCTGCAAGAATATAACATGCTCTAAAAAGTTAAATGAGGCAGAATATGCGGATTTTGGGCGGTTCTCCGAGCTGACTGATTATTGTGCAGACGTTTCGTTGCCTGACTAGGCAACATCATCAGTGCGGTTTCAGGGGCCTGGTTCGCAGTGCTTCGTAAGCGACTTCAATGTCCAAGTGCTTATTGATCGAGTTCTGCAGAATATCTTAGACCAAAGTCTCGGACTGCGCCACACACAGGAATAGGGGTATCGTTTAATGTAAGGATGTTTAGAGAAGGGCCACAGCCGTAGTACAATAGATTACTCTTGTCCGTGGCAAAGTGCAGCTTCCACGAGTTACTCCAGAGCTCCAATGCGGACAAGTCAGACTGAATATAGGCTAAGTTAGGACTACGTTGCTCAGGGGT